TTTAAATTTGCAAAAAAGAATAAAAAAAAACAAAAGCGACTGATCAGAAATTTAATCAAAAGATTTTTCTACTGCAACTAAATTTTCAGGTTGAAAATAACCCAAATCGTGCAACACTACTTTGACCAAAGTGTTAAATTTAATCATAACAAAAGAACTGTTAAAAATAAAATTCTTTTATTTGTAAAAATCATAGTTAGCCCACTACTGAAATTCTGAACATTTTTTTAAAATAATTACATTTCTTAGTGTTGTTTAATATTGCAAGGTTATTTAGATAATTGCAAAAATACAAAAAACAAAACAAGACACATGAACCAATTAGATATTTTTAGAACAGTACACTGAGCGACATTAAAAATGTACCTGAAAACCAAAATTTGAGCAAATTGCTAATTTTTAGTAAATTTTTTTTCAATTTATTTTGCCTAAGAATTGTGTAAATATTTATAGGTGAGTATGTGCGAAATAAAACTGCGCAGATGTTTAATTTAAATGAATTTTTGTCCATGACCTTGTCATTTATTCCAAACACAGATTACTTTATATCAGAGATAATGACGACAATTGAATCGAATAAAACGATAAAAACCAAGTCTAATTCTCAAAATAATTGCAACGCAAAATGACATAACTAACAGAGTTATTGCCAACCTTGCGAAACTCTAAATTATCTCAACTGAATTAAATTCCCGATTTTTAATCTTTAATAAACTCAAACTTGAAGCGTCATTTCGTTACGTCACTCCTCAAACACTATAAATACTCCTCRCAYCCTCCATCATCTCACTCAAAATGGAAGCGTTGAAAGTGCGCCCCGACCTCGCCTCCTTCATCACCTCCGTGTCGGAGACCTCCGGGATCAAGAACCCCACCATCGCCTCCATCACCACCAACCAGAAGGGCGAGGGCTACCTGGGGGAGATCTTCATGGTGACCATCACCGACCCCCAAGGCCGCCCCCACCACATCGTCGTCAAGGCCGCCTTCCTCGACGAGAAAATCCGGGAGATCGCCCCGATCCGGAAGAGTTTCCAGAACGAGACCTACTTCTACTCCCACCTCTGCCCCGCCTTCGGGCATTTCGCCGGAAAATCCCCGGAGTTTGTGCCCAAATGCTTCAAAACCGTCGTGGAGGAAAACCGGGAAATGCTCGCCTTGGAAAACCTCAAAGAAAAGGGGTTTGAYTGTTTTGACAAAACGGCCGAATTAGACGAGAAACATGTCGAGTTGATTTTCAAGACTTATGGCCGGTTTCATGCCTTTTCTTTCGCGCTCCGGGACCAAAACCCGGAAAAATACAACAAGTTGGTCAAGGGGCTGTGCAACGTCTATGGGGAGTTCCTGGAGAAGAAATACTTCCCGGAGCATTTGATGGAAGTGAGCAAAGTGGTCGAAAAGGCGTTTGTTCCGGGCGAAGATGACGATATCATCACCCAGTATAAAAAATACTCCGGGTACAACATCGTCAACTCGTTTGCAGATTGTGTCAACTCTGAGCCTAAATACGCCGCTTTGCTACACGGTGATTGCTGGAGCAACAACATGATGTTCAAATATCAAGTGAGTCATGACTATTTACTAATTTAATTTAATAATAATAAAAGTTACAACAACAAGCCCAAAATCTACGCCACTGACTTTTCTCTTACTTGCAATAGTTTTGTTGACCTTGTATCCTAGCAACTGGAAAAAATATTCACCAACCAATACAACACATTTAATAGTTTTGAAGTCAGTGGCGTACTGCACAATTTTGCTAAATAATCGAAATTTCTTTTATCGAAGCTCAAAACTTTAGTCTTTAGGCGAAGTGTAATAAAAATTATTACGTCAAAACCTTCACAACAATTTTAATGGTCAGGGGCGTAGTGCAAAATTTTGATAAATAATCAACTTGTTTCTTTATTGATCAAAGATCAAATAAATTGAACAAAAATGTGTTTTATATATTTTCACAGAAAAATTGTTCAACCAAAACTAAAAAATAACAGCTTTTTTCCTCAAAACTTTTTACAACAAGCCCAAAATCTACGCCACTGACTTTTCTTTTACATGCAATAGTTTTGTTGACCTTGTATCCTAGCAACCGGATATTTACCATCACTTAACCTGCATCCTAGATTTGTTTCTAAGCAACCAATACAACACTTTTAATGCTTTTTAGGTCAGTGGCGTTCTGCAAAATTTTGCTAAATAAGCGACATTTCTTTTACTGAAGCTCAAAACTTTATTTTTGGATAAAAAATTATATTTTTTATTGATCAAAAAAGATTTTTCAAAAGTTTCCGGTTTTCTGAATGTAGACCATAATTTTTTTTAATTAATGAAAAAAAATGCTTCAGAAACTGAAAAAATATAATAAAAAATTGTACCAACTACGCCACTGACTTTTCTTTTACATGGAGTAACCTTGTTGACTTGTATCCTAGCAACGAGAAAGAATAATCACTTTTACTTAAGTTACATCTTAGATTCGTTGCTAAGCAACCAAGTCAGTGGCGTAGCACAATTAGCAAAATTTTGCTAAATAATCATTTTTTTTAAATTAAAGCTCAAAACTCAAAGATCAGATTTAAAATAGACTAAACAAAAATTGTTTTTTAAGAGTTTAAAAAAATATAAGTTTCAAAAATTGAAAAATTATAATAAAAAAGTGTACCAACTAAGCCACTGACTTTTCTAATCTGTGCGATCAAAAAAGAAAAGCTTTTTAATAATTTACTTAAGTTATATCTTAAATTCGTTGCTAAGCAACCAATACGTACAACACTTTTAGTGGGCTTTAAGTCAGTGGCGTACTGCAAAATTTTGCTAAAAAAATATTGTTTTTAATTAAAGCTCAAAACTTAATAATCTTAATTTGGTTTTTCAAGAGTTTCAAAAACTGAAAAAAATTAATAAAAAAGTTTGGCAACTATGCCACTGACTTTTCTAATCTGTTCAAACAAAYAAAAAGCTTTTAGTAAAAATTCTAAAAATTTTCACATTCGATATTTCCGAAACCGTTTCTGGATCCATTTTTAAAACTTTTTTGTTTATTTTGGTCCATACAATTACCTCCTTAAATATTTTACAACCTTTTTTTAACACCCTGTATATTGAATCTACTGAAATTTTTAATTGATTTATTTTTTATTACAGTTGATAGTAATTTTCGTTTATAATAGATTTTTGCATACTAGTTTAGAAATTAAAAAAAAAACAACAAATTAACTATAGTTTGAATTTAATTTAGATTAAATTTATCTTAATTGCACGTATTAATTGGTCTTCAATCAGTGATAAAACTGTAAAATCAGAAAAATTAAAAAAAAGTAACCAAAATAAGCAAATTTAGCAAAACAAATCATTTTTTGAAATATTCAACATATCTCGAAATAAAATCGATTTGAGTTAAGAAATAACACTAAATTGAAAAGAATCAAAATGTAATGTTTAACGAGATGTCATTAAATACTTACGATTTCTATTGAAAAAGAGATCTAAGAAAATAATAAATAAAATTAAAATAACAAAATGACAAAAATTTTGAATTAAAAAAATGAGATTAAATAACTAAAAAACACAAAATTTTGCTCATAGAAGATTCAAAATCAATTAAAATAACACAGAAATCAACAAAATTTTCATTAACAAAAAAAACTAACCAAATCGAAGAAATTAACAAAAATAACACATT